ATATTATAATTATATTATAATTATAATATTATATTATTAAAATACTTATAATATCATATTATATGATAAAATAATAATATTAGAGTTATTAATATAATTATGATATTATTTGTTACAATATAACTATTATATTATATTATGAGTCTGAATTTTAGTTTGAAAAGATTGTAAATTTTAAATTTCATTAGGGGTATTATTGGTATTATGAAAGTTTCATTAATTGTACTATGCTGATTCTCGCACAATCTAAAAGTTAAAGTTGTCTTTAGGCTGCTTCTGATTTTAGTTGTAGATTCTTAAAAAATTCTTCAAAAAACACTGCTGAGTAAATTTATCAAATACTAAAATCAGCTTCTGCTACAAGTAGAAGTTGATTTTAAGAGGAAAAAACAATACCATATTAAGCCTCTCTCTCGTTGAATGTAAGTACTATATACTTTTGACATGGTTTATTACTTATTACTGGACTCTGGGAAGATTGGAAGAGAGGTGATCCTAATTAGAAGTTCTAAATTAATATTTAAAGAAAATACTAGATAGTGGCCATGATGATGAGCCAATTTAATTAATTATAATTAGTTCAATATTGTAGAGTTTCATTGCTAAGGGTTGAAAAATGGGGTTGGTGCGTTGAATATGATTCTCCAGAGGTTGACTGAATTTATGCTAGGCAGAATCACATGCGGAGAAGTAGTGCAAAATGGCTTATCAAAAAAGGGGGAAAAAAAAAGAGTAGTATAAATAGCCAATAATATTTATGATTGGTCAATTTGATCTGATGATCTCTCGGATGCATTCCATGTGAAGTCCTACCCCAATTTGAAAGCCTTTGACCCACCACAATTACGTCAATTTTCTTGTCTTTCTGAGGTTCTTGCCAAATAAAAAAAAAGTGGGAGCAGATAAAAACTATCAGATTAGAGTCAATTCCAAATTAATATTTATATCCGTTAATTATTATACTATTATATTCTCACTTGGATTTATAGGAAAATATCTGTACCAATTGATACAGAATCTAAGATCTAAGAATCGTATAAATCAAATGAGAAGACAGTTTTTTAGTTAATCTTTCTCACATTTAAGAGAGTGCTACTGGGAGAAAATATCTTTGAAAAAATTTCTATGAAAAAAGTTATTTTATTCTATCGATAGAATCTATTGTTTTTAATTTTTAGATTAGTTTTTTAATTATTAGATTTGTGCATATACGTATTAAAAATTTACCGCGTGCAATATAAAACTATAAAACTGCTAAGATTAGATTGCTGAAAAAACTTATCTAATAGTTTAAACACAATTTTTACCGGTAGAGTAAAAAAAAAAAGTCTTTTCCACGTAAATGCACCCATTCTCTTTAATCCATGTTCATATTTTTAGAACCTAATCTGCTGTAGAATTTACCTATTAGAGGAAACATGTCAGCTCACAGATTGTGTTGGCTGCCTGTTAAGTTCCAAATCACAGTTAGATGAATTATGACAAAATCAGAAGGGAAACTAACAGAAAAGGTTGATTGTATTAATGGCGGAAATTGGTTACATAAAGAATATAGGGATATTCGAGAGATCTCTTGCTCTCTCTAAACTTTCTTCTCTCGGAAGTTTCACAAACTGAATGAATCATCTCTTATTCTATCTCTGTTCTATTTATACTCTCTATCTCTTATTACTCTCACCAAACCCAAGGACTAACTATTAACCACTTGCTGACTCAGCCACACCCTTTCTTTCCTCGAGTGCCCCATCTACCTCAGCAACTCCTTGAATTGTCCCTCCACTTGCACTTCCCGTTCCACTTCCTTCAGCTCCTGACCTTGTCACGTGGTGGTGCTTCCTTCAAGCATACGTATAACGTACGAGAGGCTTATCATTACCCCCGCCCCAAAGACGCACCTTGTCCTCAAGGTGAAAATGAGGAAACTGTGCATCAATGGCAGCATACGATTCCCACGTATCCTCGTGGGCAGGCAAGTGAGCCCAACGAATCAACACCTCTAAGTCAGAGCGACCCCCGTGAAGCATGTGGCGCACCCCCAACAGAGCAGCCGGCTCAGCGTACAACTCCAAGTCACATGTCAACTGAGGTGGTAGAGATGAAATGGCATGTCCCTACTCCACTGCCCTACGTAGCTGAGAAACATGAAACACAGAGTGAATGGTAGCCGACTTTGGAAAAGCCAAGCAATAAGCGACTGACCCCACACGGTGCGTGATCCGAAAAGGGCCATAGAAATGAGGGCTCAACTTCTCATTACGACGGCGAGCCATGAGACTTGACGGTAAGGATGAAGCTTCAGGTACACCAAATCTCCCACGGCAAATTCCACATCCCGTCGTTTACCATCCGCCACCGCCTTCATCTTTTGCTGAGCACGAAGAAGGTGGAACTTAAGTAAATCCAACATGGTGTTCCGATCCCGTAACTGCCGCTCCACCGAATCCACCGGGGAAGTTCCCACACTGTACCGCAACAAAGGCGGAGGAAGTCGGCCATAAACCGCCTGAAAAGGGGTCATGCGGGTGGCAGTGTGGAATGAAGTATTGTACCAATATTCAGACCAAGCCAACCATTTACGCCACTGCCCCGGCTTAACAGAGATAAAACACCACAAATAAGTTTCCACACACCTATTAACCACTTCGGATTGCCCATCGGACTGCGGATGGTACGCTGTAGTGCGTGAGAGAGTAGTACCCATCTATTTGTGTAAGTCAATCCAAAAATAGCTAAGAAAAATATGGTCGTGATATGATATAATGGTGCGTGGGACCCCATGCAACCACACTACCTCTTGGATAAACAGCTTGGCGACCTTCTCAGCCGAAAATGGGTGCCTCAAAGTGATAAATTAGCCATACTTGCTCAAGCGGTCAACAACCACCAAGATAGTGTCGTACCCTTTCCGAACGAGGAATGCCCTTAATAAAATCCATAGACACATCTTCCCACACCTGCTCGAGAATGGGCAAAGGATGTAGTAGCCCACCAGGAGCCAACGTGGATGCTTTACACCGTTGACATATCTCACACCGTGCCACATACGCGGTTACATCACGTTTCATGCCGAGCCAAAACCAATCGGCCGCAAGTCGGCGGTAGGTCTTCAAGCCCCCCGAATAGCCACCCAACACCCCGTTATGATAAGAGTGTAAGAAACGTTGTACAACTGGAGAAGTACGAGCCACCACCATTCGTCCCTTATACAACAAGCGGCCTTGTCGGATAGAATACCCCGGGTACGCTGCCGGACTGTGGGGTAATTCTGACCAAATTTTTGCTACCCGTTCATCCTATAACAATTGTTGATGGATTTCTTCGGTATTAACAAACATAGACGCCGACATGGTGGCCATAGCTAGGCCGACTGCTAGCCGTGATAATGCATTCGCTGCTCTATTCTCCACCCCCGGCCGATACTGGATCTCGAAGTCATACCCTAGCAGCTTGGTAAGCCACTTTTGATGTTCCATGTTAACTAAGCGCTGCTCTAACAAGTACTTCAGGCTACGCTGATCCATCCAGATCAAAAAATGATGCCCAAAAAGATACGGCCGCCACTTTTGAACGGCCAAAACAATGGCCATCAACTCTCGTTCATAAACGGACTTATTCCGCGCCTGAGTACATAAGACTTGGCTGAAATAAGCGATAGGGTGCTGATCCTGCATCAAAATTGCCCCCACTCCAATTCCTGAAGCATCTGACTCGAGAACAAATGGCTTTGTGAAATTCGACAGAGCTAGCACCGGCACGCGCGTCATGGTAGACTTTAACCTTTCAAAGGCCTGCATTGCCTCCGCTATTGGGAATGGTGTCCTAGAAGCATAAGATGTAATAGGATATTCATTATTTATTTAATAAAAGAGTTTATTCATCATTTTATGTGTATATATATTTGTGAATATTTTATGAATATCAATGAAAATTTCATGATTATTGATGTGACCTTAAACATTGTATATAAGTGTTATATGCGAGAGGATAATGTTTAAGGATAATAATCAAAAAGCAATGTTCATAATGCATTTAATCAAAGTTCAGAATCTTTAATTAAAACATTACTAATACATGTCATTCCCATTTCGAATGGAACGGTGTTATCCACACTGTTAATATGGTGAGATATTGAATGAGTGTATTTTCATAATAAGATTATGTGGAACAGGGACACAAACACAATATGAATTTCTAATAATTTCTGTTAAGTATAGAAATTCTAATTGAGTCTACCAATGGTCATATATAGAATGATCTTAATCTTGAGTTCTTAACAAACTCCTATTTATGGATTTGTGTCTTTTGATTTACTCGGTACAGATTCTGAGACCCTGAATTATATTCCTTGTATTTTAGAGACATGATGAAATAGGTAGCTAGAATGTTATTATACGAGATGGAATCCATTCCTTCTTGAGAAAGAAGTAGATAAATAATTCTCTTGAGTGTTGATTCGGTACTTGCATTAGTAAGAGCGCTATGGTTCATGAATGTGTTTTATGAATCACTATCCATTAGAGAATCAATG